GCGCAACACCATGTAAAGATTATTTTTTCACAGTGGTTGGTCACTGGCTTCCCACATGTGCCCTAAACATTATCAGGCTGCTTCAATTACTCTTGGCTACCTTTCATAACTTTGTAGTAAGATCCTATTATTATAGATACTTCATACTTAAATCATATGACAGAGAAATCAAGCTGGTATAACCTAGAAGCTTCATCTCTACTCACTAGCTTTCATAGTACTGGAAGGTGCTATTTATGCTATTGGGGGAAGAAAAGTATTCAACAGTCTTCCAAGGTGTGATCCCAAGCTACAATAATAGCTAGACTGAAAAGACAGGTCCATTATGGCAATAATGATATGACTGTTATTAAAGTAACCAGTTACCTTCTATGAGTGACTCTAAATCCCACTTTACAAGACATAATTTGTGCCTGATACCACTAACTGAGCCAAGGAAACATGAATGGCTAGGTCATAACTTCTAGGGGGAAACCTAATTTTACTATTGTGCTTAATGAACAAGTACTAATCTTCCCACTAAGATACTATCTTTATAACCACAAATTGGTGCATATTTCAACCTTCATTAGAGCCTCTTTGACAGTAGATGATAATGAATTTAGGGTCACATAACTGATCAATATTCCAAAAATGAGAGACTGTGGAATGCTTAGCTCTGGATACAACATCTATATCATAGACACTACATCTAAACCACAAGTGCAATCAGAAAAAGGGGGAAGAAAGACTATAAGAGCCAGAATCAGTGGAAGTCTGCAGCAAAATATTATTTACTGGATATGACAGGTCTGATACACATATAAACTTATAGTAATGTGACTTCATACACAAGATTAAACAACCAAAACCTCAGCATGGATGGAGGAAGTGATCATGAAATCCCACCCATAGCTAAATAGCTTTTGGCAATATGACTGCTCAGGGAGAAAAACTGCGTTTCTTTAAGGAATGCAACCCTTGAAAGAGTACTCATAAATTTCAAGGAGACAGCCATATGCTTACACACATACCAGCCAGCACTAAGTAGGATCAGTTGGTTTAAAGGGGGGGCTTATATTAAATTTAGGGAAAAAAGTGGTAGAGGATGGGGAAAGAATTGGAGAGGAGGGAATCATGATGCATTGGATCAAATAATATTCTTCATTCATGGATTCTCAATAAAATGTTTAACTAAATGTCTTTGTTTTTAAGATAAACCCCCATATTGCTGAGGCATTACATAAAATCAATAGGCTTATATGATAATTTTAATAGAAAAATATATGGGAATGAGCAAAATTAGTTATATTTGAGTAATATAAATCAAAATAAAACATTCAATTATAATTATTAATTACCAAGAATTTTATTGTTCTTAATAATATATTAATGCTATAAGTTAATAAATATGCAAATATTAAAAAGCTTTGAGTCACATGTTTAAAATTTGGAATATATATTATTTCAATCTCAGGTTTGAAATGCTTTAAGGAAGAGACTTAATCATTTTTCTAAGACTCCTAGCAGTAGTAGACAGGATATCTGATCTGGCCTACCCCTATAAGCAGATTGATGAATACCCCAACTATCATCATAGAGCCTTCATCCAGTAATTGATGGAACCACACACAGAGATTCACAACTAAGATCCAGGCTGAGCTCCAAGAATCCAGGCAACTAGAGGGAGGAGAGAACATATGAGCAAGGGAGGCCACGATCATGATGGAGAAATCTTCAGAGACAGCTGAACCGAGCTTGTGAAAACTCATGAACTCTAGACTTAACTATGGACATTCCAGGGAGCCAAGCTAGGCCCTCCATATGTGGGAGACAGTTGTGAAGTTTGGACTATCAGAAGAGACTCAGGCAGTAGGACTACAATACAAACTCAGTACATGATCTAGCTTCTTGGAGCCTATTCCCTATGGTGGGATAACATGCTCAGTCTTTTTGCACGGAAGAGAGGCCTGGCCCCTGCCTCAACTTATTATGCCAGACTATGTTGACTCCTCATGGGAGCACTTACCTGTGAGGAGGAGTGGACTGAAGGAGGCTAAGGGGGAGGTGAATGGGGGTGGGAGGAGTCAAAGGGGTGGCAGGAGGTGAGGGGGTGGGAGAAGTGGGAGGGAGAACTGTGGTTGGAATATAAAATTAAATTAAAAACTGGAAAAAACTAAAAATGTTTTTCTAAATTTAAAAGTTTTTTATGCAATGCATTTTTCCTACCCCAACTTCTTGCAGATCCTACTCACCAACCTACTGATCCAAATTCATGTCCTCTCTTTGAAAAAAAGTGCACACACAAAAAATAATAATCACGTTCATTTTGTGTTGGCAAACTACTCTTGAGCATGCGCTTGACCTGGAGTATAGTTGATATACCCAGTGAAAATCCATAGGAAAAAAAACTAATTTTCCCTTTTCCAGTGGGTATCCATCACAAATAGCTTCTTGGTTAGGAGTAGGACCCTCGCGAGGTCCACTTCTTCCCTTCAGTTCTGGAAGATGGGACTCCATCTGGCTTGAACCTGTTTAGACCCTTATTTACTGCCAATCTCTGTGAGTTAGTTCATATGTGTATCAGTTCTATTGTGTATGGAAGACATTCTGGGTCTGACAGTCTTCCTACCTCCTCTTTCACATAGATCCCTGAGCCCTGAGGCAGAGAGGTTTGGTGAAGCCATCTCATTTAGACTGAGTGCTATGAAGTTTCTCACCCTCTGCATATCGTCCCGGTGTGGGTCACTATATGTGCATCCTTTTTTATGGAGATGCCAGTGATTCAAACTCAGGACATAATACTTGTGACACATGCACTTTACTGCCTGATCCATCTCCCCAGTCCCTGGAAACCTAATGCCAAACCTTAAGTTGATGTAGTTTTCATATGATATGCTCAATTATAGATGCTGGCTTAAATATGTGTCTAATCAAGGTTCATTTTTAAAATGTTTGATTTCTGCTCAAACTTTATATTTGAAAACCTAAAATGGCCGAAAGTCCTCACCATGAAGAAATGACAAAAATTTCAGGAGACATACATGTTTAGCATGAATTTTGACCTTACACAATGCAGTGTATACAGAAACATGTCCAGTTACCACACCACAGTAATACACATAATTCATATTTTTAACATTTGTCAGTGAAAATGAATTACATTGTAAAAGGTTGTTACCAGCTTGATCCCTACAGACTAATAATTGTTTCTTCCCTAGGAAAGCAGAATGAAGAAAGTCGGGTATTCACAGAGGGAACCTCTCTAGAGATCTCCAAGTCTAAAAAATTCCCTCCGTATCTCTTCCCAGAACTACCAACCTAACTCCACAGCATCTCATTTAGAAAGGACCCGCTATGCTCACTGAATATCATTTAGTTCTTTGAATGGTAGTCTCTTACCTGAGGATTTGCTATACACATTCAATCATAATTAAGGTAAATAGCCAAAGATAAAAGTCACATTTAATGATCTTCAAATAATAACCTCTCCAAGACATATATCTCAGTGATTTGTCATTTATAGACACAACCAGGGAATTAGATCTGAGATGTGATTTTACTATGTTTATTTTACAAATATGAAAGAAGTAGATAGATGACTCCTGCAAGAGATCAGACAAAAATTATTGATATATTTGGAACTTGGTTAGTGTAAAGATGATTTTACTGATTGTTTTCCTGGCCTTACTGATGTTAGAACCTTTGACCACTAGTTGAGAAGGTACTTATGCAATATCCCATGGATGGTTTCATGATTTTGGGCTGACTACTCTGTGATGAATGTTCTTTCTTGTATAGAAATCTGGTAAGTATCTATACTACAAAAACATTTAACCTGTGTAGAAGCAGAGGGCTTCTGTATCTGCTCTGAGTTCCTTGAAGATAGAAAGTTGTTTTAAAACCACTCTAAGTGGATGATCCAACAAAGGTGAGCCTGAAGTATTTGTAAATGTCAGTGTTCACTAGAGAGACTTGGTGATTTGTTAGCCAGGGTGATTCTATCCCCAAAAATGATAAAGAATAAGTTAACTGGCGACTTTATCACATTCTGTATATATTTGCATCTTGGTGGAAGTTACAAAACACAAATACCCAAAAGAGTGAAATGATACGTCTTGAAATGTGAAATTGCTCCTAAAAATGAATTATGTTTTAACTTGCAATTCAATCCTTATTCTCTCTATCTCTTGCTGATTCTCAAGAAACATATTCAACGCCTGAATCTAGAACAGTTTTTCCTCAAGGAGCTTGTGTAATTTTAGAGTATCACATTTCTCAAATACTGTTTTCTTGTTGATAAAGTATAACAAGTCTCTTACATACTCCAATGATCACAGACATGTTCATATATAAATCTCTTGTGATATTTGCTAAGCCTTATTTTATTACCTTAAGCAGCTAAGGTAATAATATTTTAATATTGGGTTACACCTAATGTTTTAAGAGGGTTTGCACCTAGACTTATTGTAACTTGTTATGACATGTTCGGTTGCTATCCCTAGGAGGCCTGCCTTTTCTGAGGGGAAACAGAGGAGCAGTGGATCTAGGAGAGAGGGTAGGTAGGGTGGGGCATGGGGAGGAGTTGGGGGGATGCAATTGGAATGTATTGTATGTGAGAAGATAAATAAAAAGAAAAATGGATAAATGTTATTTTGAAATGTTATTTCACACACAAAAAAATTCAAATACAATATTCTCAAACATGTAGTTGACACCAAAAGAAATCTGTGAAGTTACAAGTGACACATAAACTAGGTCAAAGCTTGCTCTCTGTGATTTGGTTTTGCCAGGAAAGTAATATGAGAAAATAGGAGATTTAATAAAATGGATTCTCTTATCCCAACCAAGAAATGTTTCTAAGGAATTTTTTTTTATTTTTTAATGTCCTGGCTATTCATTGCCTTCTGTAGCAAAAGGCACCAGGCCTGAGATGAAGCAGACTTTGGGGAAATGCTGACAACTAGGATGGAACCCAGAAACGTGATCAACATCCCCAATCAAAACATACCTAAAGCCAAGGTTACTTCTAGAACACTGATACTAATCTTCACTAAAGGGTCTCATTTCAATAAAGGGTCTGCTACAAGTTATATATTGACATTCATATTGCATAAGGAAAATGATGTCCCAAAGCCAGGCTGCTTTTCCTTTTTATTACTTACGCTATTTTTTTAGATTAAAATAAAATCACATGGTTTTCTCCTTCCCTTTCTATTAAATCCTCCCATATACCTCCCTTGCTCTCTTTTAAATTTGTGACCTCTTTTTTCAAGCAGAAGCATGATGTGGAGAAAGTGTAATGGTCATTCTAAGAGAAGAGAGCAGAGACATCACTGAAATTGAAAAGCACTATTTCTAGATATACAATTATGCTGACCTCTGTTTTTAATTTGCAAAATACTTTGACCTACTGTTTCAGAAAAAGCTAAAATAAATGCAGTAGTTTAAACTTTTTAATTACAGAATAAAATTACCTGAAATTATAGGGTATAGGGACAACAGTCATGGCTAAGGAGTAAGTATGCTCTAAAGAGCAAAGGAGAACCCATTTCATCTCAGTGACCCAGTATAGAACAAAGGGAAAGTTAGGGAGAGAAGCTTCCAGAATTCCTATAGCTAGAATCCTGAATATGGCATAAAACTTCATTAATCAAACATAAAGACCATCATCCCATACTGACAATAACTGGATAGGCTGGGGTTAACAGCCATAATTTATTATCTTTGATGTGTGTTTATTTATCCCAATAGTACCTGAAAGTAACTGGATTGGGGGAAGATAGGAGGGAGTGGGGGATGGGAACATGAGGGTTCAAGATGACCAATTTGGCTAAGAAGGAGACCAATGAAAAGATACTTTGATAGATAAAGCCATTATGGAGTTAGGGAAAAACCTTGTACTAGAAAATTCCCAGGAATCCGCAAGGATGACCCCAGCTAAGACTCTTAGCAACACTAGATAGGGTACCTGAACCCGATAATCAGATTGGTGACTACCCTAATTGTCATCATAGAACCTACATCCAGTAATTGATGGAAGCAGATGCAGTGATCCACAGCCAACACTGGGCAGAGCTCCTGGAGTACAGTTGAAAAGAGGTAGGAGGGATTATATGAGCAAGCAGAGGGTCAAGATCATGACTGAGAAAAGCATAGAAACAGCTGACAGGAGGTAGTGGGAGCTCGGAGTCTGGACTGACAGCAGGAGAACCTGCATGGGATGGAACTAGGCCCTCTGAATGTGGGTGACAGTATCTTGATCTTTGGGCAGGTCCCTGGCAGTGGAACCATGATTTATCCCAGGTGCATGAACTGGCTTTTTGGAACCCATTCCTATGGTGGGATACCTCAGCCTTGATCAGGGTGTGTGTGTGGGGGGGGGGTGTTTGGTCTTGCCTCAACTTGTTATGCCAGACTTTGTTGACTCCCCATGGGATGCCTTACCCCTCTAAGGATTGGATGGGGGTTGAAAAGGAAGGTGGAGTGGGAGCAAGAGAATAAAGGAAGCTGGGGTTGATATATAAAATGAAAAAAAATAAATAGAAAATAAAATGAAAGTAGCTATTATCGCTGTCTTCAAGTCGAATGAAATAAGATGTTTGTGGAAGTTAGGTTGGACCAGATTTGATAGGCATCTATCTCTCTCAAGAACCTTAGCTCTAAGTCTGTTAAATCTGATGGTATAATATTGTTCAGAACTGCTCTGCAGGTTCAGCATTCTCCCACCCTAGTTATCCATAACATTGGCTACTCAGAATATATATATTACATAAACTTGTCTTCAACCTACTTGAATGTTTAGGGTTTGGGTAGTATCCATGTGAACATGTGCATATACGTGTGTGTGTGTGTGTGTGTGTGTGTGTGTGTGTGTAAAAGACTGAAAAGAAATTCAGATTTTGTTAATTCTTTTTGGACAGTGCTAGTATTGGAAAGGGAATAATTTATTTTCCAGATTTTGTTTTTTCCTTTCTTTTACCTCCAAAGATGAGGAAATATGTGTCAAATGAGATGAAATTACTGTATGATCAATTACTTTGTTGTTCATTATTAACCCCCACAAAATGTTGCTGCATTTGAGCTAAAGGAGTCAGTGAGTTCAGTTAAATTCAATTTTACCTAAGAAAATTCAGAGCTAGTATCTCAAAAACATAGGATTACAACTTGTCATAATTTATAACTGAGAGTCCCATTTAATGCTTGTATAAATACAAATTAGTCAGCATATTTAGTTTCATAATTTTTGTGACTTGAAAAACAAAGCAAAACATATTAGTGAGAGAAAAATGATATATCCAAAGAGTCAATAGTTCTTGACAGGTGGTGGCAAGGAAATGTTATGTTTTGCTGAAATAAGGTAAAGATAGCATACAGAATCATCCATAAAAGTCATAGTTATCAATTTATTAATTTGTTTACATATCTATTAACAAATACATAAAATTTTGGAATTTTGCATTCCATTAAGAGTCCTTCAACATGGCATGTGTGTAATTGATTCACCCAAGCTAATTCTAAATCCTATGATGTTTTTATAGAATGTAGAAGTATAAGTTGATATAGGTAGAGAGGTGGGAAGCATCTGGGAGGAGGTGAGAAAGGGGGAAAGGATATGATCAATATACATTGTGTGAAAAACTGTAAAAAACTTTTTTAAATTATAGTTTATATTTTTCAAGTTTAATGGGATTTTCAAATCATCATTATCCTCTTTTCCTATTGCTACAGAGAATCTAATGATTATAAAATGACAGTGATGGAGAACAGGACAGAAGTGACACAGTTCCTCTTGTTGGGACTCACTGATGACCCAAAACTGCAGCTTCCACTGTTCACCACCTTCCTCCTCATTTATACCATCACCCTCGTAGGGAATCTGGGGATGATCCTACTGATTCTCTTGAACTCTCGGCTCCACACTCCCATGTACTTTTTCCTTGGTAATCTTTCTCTGGTGGATTTCTGTTACTCCTCAGCTGTCACCCCCACAGTCATGACTGAGCTTCTTAGAGGAGACAAGGTCATTTCCTACAATGACTGTGCTGCTCAGATGTTCTTCTTTGGAGGCTTTGCTACTGTGGAAAATTATCTGTTGGCCTCAATGGCCTATGATCGCTATGCTGCAGTGTGTAAGCCTCTACACTATGCCACCACCATGACTAAAAGTGTGTGTACATGGATGATAATTGGCTCTTATGTCATCAGTTTCATGAATGCCTCCATCCATATTGCAGACATATTCACTCTCTCCTTCTGTAAGTCCAATGTGATCCATCATTTTTTCTGTGATATTCCAGCAATCATGGCTCTCACTTGTTTTGATAACAAGTTTAGGGAACTAGCTCTTCTTTACATTGAGAGTTTAAATATCCTTTTTGCTCTCATAGTTATCTTGACATCTTACATGTTAATTTTTGTTACCATCTTAAAAATGCACTCAGCTACAGGACATCACAAGGCTATGGCCACCTGTGCCTCCCACTTCACAGCAGTGTCTATTTTCTATGGGACTGTCATCTTCATGTATTTACAGCCCAGCTCTAATCATACCATGGACACAGACAAAGTTACATCTGTGTTTTACACAATGGTCATTCCTATGCTGAACCCTCTGATCTATAGTCTGAGGAATAAAGAGGTCAAGAATGCATTCTTAAAGTCAATACTACATTCTTACAGGTAAAGAATGTACTCATTTGCTGAAGGCAAAAAATTTAGGATTTTAATTTAACTTTGTGAGATGCACTGTCCCTAGCTTAGATCTCCTTCTCAGACCTCCTCCATGTACTGAATTAGAGTTGATGTCCACACCAAATTAAAGTAGATGAAATAATTTCCTTACTTCTTCAAAACTCTTAGAAAAATATTTTAAACAGAATTCTATACTTGAATGATGTGAGATAGCTTAGGGTTTTCAAATAATAACACTATTGTATCACTTAATTATATGTATTTTCTTACTACATCTCAATGCAAATACACATAAAGCAATTTAAAGATAAATACCATAGACTGAAAGAATGCCTGATGGTGTTCCATGATATGCACATGAATGTGGTAAATCTTATGGAACTGCATATGTGATGTGGTTATCTGTGGTGCTTAATTTAATGTGTTCATCTGCCTGGATTAATGATGTATATGTGACCATATTTGTAAGAGTTCAAGAGTCTAGCATTAGAAGCAGTTAAATTTTAAACTAATACAGCCTCTCATCTATGTGGCTGGGCATGATCTCACCAGTTAGAGCTCAAAAAAGTACAAACCTCCCTCTCTCCCCCTCTTATTTTATGCCCCTCTCTCCCTCTTCTCCTCTAACCTTTCCTCCTCCCCCTTTGCCCTGAACATTCATCTTTTCTCACTCTTAGCCAGCAGAACCAATGATCCAGTCCTGACTATCTCGACTTTGATCTTCAAGACTTACAGCAGCCACATGTCACCTCCCTTTTCTCAGGCTTCTGAACTCAGATTGCATTCACTCCCATCTTCTGTTCTTCTGAAGCTTGAAGGGAGAATATCAAGGTACTTCCCAAACTCCATATCACATGAGTCAATACCCACAATACATATCCTTTTATTTGTCCTTGTATATCATATCCTATTGATTCTGTTTCTTATGATAACTATGGAAACTACAAAAGCATTTAGTGAGTGTAATGTTTTGAATGAGAAATGTCTTCTAAGGGCTTACCTGTTTGAACACTTGGTCCTAGTTGGTGCTCCTGCTTGAGGAGGTTTAAATAGTAGAGCCTTGCTAGATAAAGTACATTACTTAGGACAGGCTTTTGAGTGTAGCCTTTCCCCATTTCCAGTTTTCTCTCTACTTAATATTTGTGATTGAAGATGTGATCCCTTGACCTCCAGCTCCTTCCAACTCTCCTGCCTCTTGCTGCCATGCCTACTGTTATGATGAATACTTATCCCTTTGAAACCATAATCTTAAATAAAATTTTCTTCCATAAATTGCTTCTGGTGATTTGTATTATATCACATGACAGAAAAGTAATCAATACAGTGGTTATAATTTAATCTATCATTTGCTCTTTTGAACATAATATTTGTAGAATATTTATTTCTATGATGGAATATGAGGCTTGAGTGAAAACATGATAAATAATTAAATGAAATCACATGTGTTTTATTTGACATTCACAGATAAAGAATTCTGAAATTTCCTATGAATTAATATTTCTGCGGGATTAAGTCAATTTCTATAACCATACAGGTTTATACTTGAAATTTCAAAAGGTGCAATAAAAACACAAAAGAGTAGAGGTCTAATTGAAATATTGTAATGTATTCATATATAGTTAACCATCATCAACTGGTATTTGAATCAAGCTGAGAAATTCTGAGAAATTAAGAGGTGTAATTTTCTTTAAAAAGGTGCTTTGAAAACTTTCATAATGGCCATTTATTTATTTATTATTTTTATTTCTTTTTATTTAAATTAAAAAACAATCTCATTTTACATACAATCCTAGTTCCCTCTCTCTCTCATATTCACATTCCCCCCACCTCCCCATCCACACCCCATCAACTCCTCAGAGAGGATGAGGCCTCCCATGGGGGATCATCAAACTCTGTCACATCATATGGGGCAGGACTGAGGCCCTTTCCCTGTATCTAGGATAAGCAAGGTATCCCTCCATAGGGAATGCGCTTTAAAAAAGTCAGTTCATGCATGAGGCATAAATGCTGGTTCCACCACCAGTGGCCACATAGACAAGCTTCCCAACTGACACCCATGTTCAGGGGGCCTAGTTCTTCTTACAATGGTTCAAGAGCTCCCACTTGCTCAGGACAGCAGTTTGTCTGGGTTCCCCCCAACATGGTATTGACCCTTTAGATCACCACTCTTCCCTCTCTACAACTGAATTCCAGGAGCTCAGCTCAGTGCTTAGCTGTGAATCTCTGCTTCTGTTTCAATCAGGTAAAGGATGAAAGATCCATGATGGCATTTAAGGTAGTCAGCAATCTCATTATAGGGGAAGAGCATTTAAGGTAGCCTCTCCACTATTGCTTAGATTCTTAGTTGGGGTCAGCCCTGTAGATTCTTGGGAATTTCCCTCATCCCAGGTTTCTCCTTAACCCCATAATGGCTCCATCTATTAAGGTACCTCTTTCCTTGCTCTCCTTCTCTGTCCTACTCCCAACTTGACCTTCCTGATCCCTCATGTTCTCCTACCCCTACCCCCTTCTCCCCTCCTCTTTCGCCTACCTCACTCTCCTCATACTCCCAATTTACTCAGCAGATCTTGTCACTTTCCCCTTGGGGGGACACGGTCATGTGTGTCTCTCTTAGGGTCCTCTTTGTTTTCCAGCTCCTCGGGGGTTGTGAAATGTAAGCTGGTTATCCTTGGCTCTATGTCTAATATCCATATATGAGTGAGTACATACCATGTTTGTCCCTCTGTGTCTGGGATACCTCACTCAGGATTGTTTCTTTTAGTTCCATCCATTTGCCTACAAATTTCAACATGTCGGTTTTTTTTTTCTTACCACTGAGTAGTATTCTATAGTGTATATATACCACAATTTCTTTATCCGTTCTTTGGTTGAGGGGCATCTAGGTTGCTTCCGGTTTTTGGCTATTACAAGTAATGCTGCTATGAACATGGTTGAACAGATGTCTTGTGGTGTGAGTGTACATCCCTTGGATATATACCCAAAAGTGGTACTGCTCCATCTTGAGGTAGATAGATTCCCAATTTTCAGAGAAACTGCCCTACTGATTTCCAAAGTGGCTGTGCAAGTTTGTACTAGATGGTGTCTCGGAGTTATTTTGATTTGCATTTCCCTGATGACTAAGGATGTTGAGCAATTTCTTAAGTCTCTTTCAGCCATTTGAGATTCCTCTGTTAAGAATTCTTTATTTAGATCTGTATCCCATTTTTAAATTGGATTATGTGGTGTCTTGGTGTCTAGCTTCTTGAGTTCTTTGTATATTTTGGCAATCAGCCCTCTGCCAGATGTGGTATTGGTGAAGATATTTTCCCATTGTGTAGGCTGCCATTTTGTCTTTTTGACTGTTTCATTTGCCTTAGGGAAGCTTTTCAGTTTCAGGAGGTCTCATGTATTAATTGTTGATCTCAGGGTCTATACTACTGGTGTTATGTTTAGAAGTAGTGTCCTGTGCCAATGCATTCAAGGGTACTTCCCATTTTCTCTTCTGAGAGGTTCAGTGTGACTGGATTTATGTTTATTTTTTGATCCATTTGGACTTAAGTTTTGTGCATGGCAGTAGATATGGATCTATCTGAAATCTTATACATGTCAGCATCCAATTATGTCAGTACAATTTGTTTAAGAGATGTTCTTTTACCATTGTATAATTTTATCCTCCTTGTCAAAATAACAAGTGTTCACACATGGGTTGATTAATAACAAGGTTTTTGATTCATCTCTATTGGTTCACTTGTCTGTTTTTGTGCCAATACCAACCAATTTTCATCACTATAGCTCTATAGTAGAGCTAAAAGAGGCATGGTAATGCCTCTTGAAGTTCCTTAATAGTACAGAATTGTTTTGGATATCCTGGGTTTTTTTGTTTGTTTGTTTTTCCATATGAAGTTGAATATTAGTTTTTTTTTCAGGGACTGTGAATAATTGTGCTGGATTTGATGGGGATTGCATTGGATCTGTACATTGATTTTGGTAAGATTGTCATTTTTTTTAGAAATTGCTGTGATTTTTATTCAATTTGAAGTCCTGATTAAAATAAAAGCAGTGAGAATGAAGCTTTACAAATGGTGCAAATTACCCCGACACATTACCCCGACATGGTCCTTAGTAAAAAGCTATTCTGGTTAGGTGGTCTTGACATTGCTGCATGCAGGTCTTGTTGCTTGCAAGGGCTCTGAAGAGCTTCATTCATTAAAATAAACAAAACAAAACAAAGATCCCTCTCACAGGCCAACAATGGCCAGAAGCAGCTTTCTGTAGTCTCCATTCTTGTCACTAGCAATCATTGTGCTCAGGGTCTTCTGATGCATCTGGGTGAATATCTGTTTTATCTGATCAAGGTCAATCTCACTTCGAGTGACCACAATCCTGACCAGCATGGAGTCATCTGTGCCAGCACCTTTCATGGAGTAGTAGAGTCGCTCAGCAAAGAAGGCAGGGCAGTTTAGGGTGCACTGCAAGATGTTCTCCAAACCACTTTCAATATATCCAGAGAACTCTCGACTTACACGGCTTAAGAAATCTCAATTACCCAGGCTGGAATAAGCCTCCATGGTGGCTTTCAGCTAAGGGAAGTTTCTGGTGGCAAGGATCATGTTGAAGCAGGACTCATCTGTCCCTAGCTTTCCCTCACCAGCCTGATAGAGGTGCTGGGATTCATCCAGAGTCATCTGGTGGTTTGCACTCTGGTTCTCATCACGGTTTCCCTGGCACATGGGTATGAGGAGACGTTCAAAATGTCCTGAGGTATCTGACTTAATGTCCTTCTCAAGGTCTCGTCCAAATTCTGATTGATAACATCTAACAAGGTCTCCAATTTCTTGATTTGTTCTTGTGCATAAAATCTCTATCAATACACTGGTGGTCTGTTACAGATTTGCAGGTAGTCTTTCTGCTTCCCTGACCAGCATGGATAGAGGATTCGCCCTAGTACTTTTTCTACAAAAGACAAGTAATGCTGGCCAGATAAAAGGCTATCTGACTGGGGCCAAGTCTCAC